AAACAAATTCATGTGTAAGCAATGCATAGCTGAATAAAAAATTTTACAGTAGAAATATCTACAGTAGAAATATCAACCGGAGATAATTTAAATCTGTTAGACTCAGTCCATAAAATAAACCGCCCGGTGACTGAGTGGTAGCGCTTCGCGCTCCCGTGCCGTAGGTTCTGGGTACGATCCCCGGGATTTTTCATTGATTTTATGAAAAATACCATTTGTACTTCCAAGCCACAAACCGCTTCTGACTTATTACTACAACCTCCAGCTATCTATCAAGCCTCATTCCTAAACTACATTAATGGAAATGCAGAGCTATAAGCTAACGCAAAGAGCTCGTCGCTCTCTTTTACAATCTACCATTTTTGAAATACATTGTCATAAATTTCCTTTCTTCCCTTAAGAATAATTAACAAGTTTCCTTCCCCAAAATTCAACTACATTTTACTTTAAAATAGCACTATTATTTTCTCTTTTTAAAAAGTAATCTCATAAAACTGTAATTTACAATATTTGACTAAATAAGAACCATTTCACTACTTTTGAATGAGAACTCAGAAAATTGAAAACCTTTAAAATTAAACTCAGCATATTTAGGAGAGATAATACTAACAATCTCGCTTAAAAATATAAACACTTTTTTCCATGTACTCATCCTAAAAATAAGTCATTTTTTCATTCACAAAATTTAATCAAAATTATCAGAAATTAAACCCTTATTTTACATTTTTCAAAGTGATGTTTGCAATTAAATTAGAATTATTCCATTTTGTATCGAAAAAATATTGACAATGTTACTTTTAAGAAATTCCTGTTAATATATTTCATTATATTTAGTTTTCAAAGTATACTTAACTTATCCAGAAAAATATTCGTTTACATAGCTATTTCTGAAATTTTTCTAAATTCGTAATAATAATTTAAAATGAACTTTTATCGAATAGTTCAGTTATCACAAATCTGTTTTTTTTTTAAAATCTATAAAGGGATTAATTAAATAGTGCTAAAATAACCTGCACAATGAAGCATAAACTACCATCTCTTCGTATAAAAGTAAATAAAATCATCGAATTATTAACTATTATGAGTTGATAGTGTATCAATTAACTTTCGTCCCATTTAATTTGTATGATTATACCTTTTCATTAAATATCAATATCTGTTAAATTCATATTTTTAATCTTAAATTTTTTGTAATGAAGAGCTTCATTAAAATCGTAAGTTTACTTAACGAGGACAACCTCAGAAGTAAGGGCTCTAATTTTCACGAAATACAGAAACCCATTTAATTTCTACATTATATTTTTTTCCAAATATTTTTAAAACTATTCAAATTTTAAGCCTATATCCATACTTCTACTAGAAAATCCAACTTAAATTTAAGAATTCCATTTTACCCTCCATCGCGAAAGGTGACAATTCGGTTACAACCCTTTTAATTGCTCGGGAAATTCTTAAAATACTGAAACAATCAGGGTAAAGTCAAATATATTTTTTAAAAAATAAAATGAAGGTTATAAGTTATCTAATTTTACACATATGAGCATGCTCGGTTTTCTCCCCAATAAAAATGCCAAGTAATATTGACCCTATATGATCTGAAGTACAAGTGGACACTCTAAGGAGAAATTAAATAACGTTGTGATAAATTTTTTAAACATGAAGTGAAAAATATTTCGAAATAACCAAAACTATCTTAAATCCTAAATTGTACTATATTATTAGGTTCTTAATATGATCTATTTACTGGAAACAATTAGGCGTTTAAATAATGCTCTAGATTGAGAATGGGTAAGGACTGCTATCAATAAGCTGTGGATAATAAATCTGGTGATAAAAGTATAGTATTTTAATTTACAGAGTAACTAAAGCCAAATATTTCTATTTTGTTCTCTCCCTATCAATTCATTTGCATCTTTAGTTTCTAGACTGAAGTTAAAAGAAAGTTCTTAATTGAGAGATCCAGTTTGTTTCTGAAAGGAAAAGATACTACTCTGAAAGACTGTTTTCTTATAGAATGGGTAATTCGTTGGGTTGTGTACTTCCTGAAGAACGCGCAGCACACTGCAAAGCAACCGAACTATTTTTCCTCACCCATGTTTTGATGAAATCGAAGCGGACCGGACGCATGGGCAAACGTGCATAATGTTTTCAGATAAAAAATATACAGTCTCACCATTATAGAGGTAAACCATTCATTTTTTATGCATTTTAAATAATTTATGTATTAAAAAGCTACTCTTGGCAAAAATCCATTACACTGTGAACATCATGTAAAATTTAAACATTCTAAATTTTTTAAATTAAAAAAAAATCGCAATTCTAGTTTAAATAAACTTAAATCATTTTTAAAGTAAATTTAAAATGCTTCTTACACAATTAATGTTGCATTAAATAGGAAGACTAATGATTCAAATGGAATGAATCATAATTTTGCGGATTTTTATCGAACTTAAGGTGAACTGAGAAGTTTTCTTCATACTTTAATTTGTTCTCAAATTTATATTAGCATTAGTCTATATTTTATACAATGAGTTGTAACCGTAACAAAAATGTTATGTGTTATTAACATACCTATAGATATTAAAGTGCCAAAATTCATGAACAGACAGCATTAAAATAAGTTTTTAAATATATATTAAGCCCAATAAAAAAAAATTTAAAGTTTATTAGATTCAAAAATTTCCTGTAGTTTGTTAACTTAAAAAAAATTAAATTTGAACATTTTCAAAATTTCACAAAAATGCTGCTATGAACTGGCATTCAACGGATGCTTTTATGCAGTACGTGGACATCGATCTGCAACAGGAAAGTGTGCAGGTGTCGATCGGAAGTTTCGAATTGACTGGAGGAATGTGAAGCATGAAGTGGAGATGGTAGACGGCCGTTCTGCTTTCTCTTCATGTTTCACACTCATTCAGCAGTTTCGGAACTCCTCGGTTCATGCCTGCAAGTTTCTGCTGTGGAACAATGTCCTCGTACTGTGTCGAAAGTTTAAAGTTAAATCTCAGTCATTGCAGCATTCTTAGATTGTAGAATATAAATTTAATAGCTTCTTTATTAATACACTGCGCGATGATTTTGTAAAACAGACGAAATAAAATCATGGCATGACATAAACATGTAACTACATGCCATGAGCAGATTCTGCAGAACTTCCAAATTTGCTTTCGAATAATGTAATGTAAAGTGTGTAAAAAAAAATGCGTTGTGTTCCAAAACTTACTCGCACATTCACTGAAAGTTTCTTAAAATTTGTATAAAATTTAAGTTTATTTATATCTGATCTATTAATTTGTATAAAATTGCATTGTTATGGATGTTGAAAAAATAATTTTTTTTAAAATTGAAATTTAGTTTTTAACTTATTTTTAAAATTTCTTTGAATGTTTAAATCAGTACTATATTTCAAGATGAAACTAAACTATATAAACGAAAGTTGTTGTTTGTAATTATTTTTATATAATTTTGTGCAAAATTAATGTTGCACTTGAACAAAACTGTTAATGTTCCATATTGAAGTGTTTGAGTGGCTTTGATTCAAAATCTGTTAACTTCTATTAAGTTAAAATAAGGATTTAAACAAACCAGATTACACAAAGCTTAGGCCAAATTTTTTAATAAAAAATAGGGAAATAAATTAACAATGAATCCATGAAAAAGCTTCATATTATGTAATTCACTAGTTTCTTTTCGAAAATAGCAGTTAGCAAGTTTTTTTATCTAGAAAATTGCAAATAGAATGAAAGCTCTGTAATTCTTTATTGAAGAAAGACTGAAAAGTTGTTGTAGATTGTATTTCGATGTTATAGCATTGAGTGTACTTGTATATTTAGTTCAAACTAAAACTGTTTTGTGAATTTACAAATGTAATTCAATATAATTTATGTTCTTAAAGAGTATCAAGTATCACGTCTAACTGTTAGTGTATCAAGTCTAACTCAAATTTTTGTCACTGTTGTAAAGGATAGATGTTACCGTGACACTTTGACATTTTTAGAGTGCAAACAATTACTGAGCATTATTTTAATAAATTTAATTACATTTCAGTTAGGATACTTTCATATTTTGACATAAAATGAAGAAAAATGAAAACGAGTTTTATTATAAGCAATGTAGTAAATACGCATTTCAATCTGTGTCCATCTTGACACATTTTGGTTCATTCTTGTGGATCTGTGTGCAATTTTTTTAAATGCGCATTTAGATCTGTATAAATTTCATTAGACTCCCATTTTTAACTGTGTCCATTTTATTAAACACGCGTTTTGATCCATTGTCTTGAATACTCATTTAGATCTGTCCATTTTCTTAAATATGCATTTCATTCTGCCCGTTTTCTCAAATGCGCATTTCGATCTGTGTCTATTTTCGTAAATACGCATGGACGTAAATACGCTTATATTATGAAATCAAAAACAAGTTTTTTAGACCGCAATAAATGTTTTTCCTTTTATTTGAAAAATCTTAAGTTTATTAACTTTAATTTACTTTTATTAATAAAGATATTGCAAACAATAAATATTAGTAATATAAGTAAAAAGGCAAGGTCAAGTCACTTGGATCATCCAATAATATTTTATTTAAGAGTTGCAATTTAAAGGAACTAGTATTCTAATATTTAAAACTATTTTTATTAAATTTATAGTTTTGTGGAACATCTTAGAACAAAAAGTGTTCTTCCTCGTGCTACTACTCGTGACTTAAGGGGATTCATCATATTTTACAAAAGAGTAGTAATGTCTAGAAAATTCTATAAGCTCATAGATTATTGCATCAGAGAATGATTTTGCTGATTTTTGTTTCCGAACGCTATTTTTTTCAATAGCGAAGGTCACCTCCATAGTTTCCTGTATTTACATAACATAAGTTATTCCTCCTTTATTTTTTTGTTATTTCGCAAACGGAAATCGGACAGGTATTGAAAAGAAACAGAAAATACGCTCAAATATAATGTGTCAAATTTTGTATTACTTTCCTTTTATTCTTTATCATATGGATTTCAAAAAATTTAAAATTGCTTCTATTAATGCAGTTATTAAAATAGTTTTTTTTACAATAAACTTTTACAGGGGAAGTGTTAGATTATAAATTTAAATGCTTAATTTAAAGTTCTAAAATTTAGTTGAGCTTATTTAAGTTTAGCTTTATTAAGAAACTTTAGTTAAATTTTAAAACTGTCAAATACTCATACTAATATTTATTACTTCGTTTCTTTTTTATCGACTTGGCAGCTCTTTGGGGCCATGGTCTTCAAAACCTTTTAAAGTCTTCTCTCTTTCTAGTAAGTGTGTTCCGACTTTTCTCTTCATTAATGTAATCAATACGTCTTTGCTCGGGCCTGCCATTGGTTGGGGTTCAAGTCAATTTAAGGATTCTGGGTGTTAAAGAGGATGAGTCTAGCAAATTTAATGCGGTTTTCTTTAATGTGGTTAATAATATTACTCTCAATACAACCTGCATGGCTTATTATGTATTAAAATTCAGTGCATTTCACAAAACTGTTCTCTCGGACATAACTAGTAGATATTTAGGTTATTTTGTTATAGCCCAGATGCTAACTATGCGAGTAGAAACAGTTTTAATAATAGTTTTGAATATTTACCAATGCAATTAAATTTTGTTATGCTTATTAACGTACATTTAGAATTTTTTATACATTTAAATAAAGCTCCTGCCCGCTGGCACATTTTGACTCTTAAGTTACCTAATATTTCCCCTCATTTACAGATACTTTTACATTTTTACACACGTGAAAACATCTTTACGCGTTTATTGACACTTGAATTAGAGCAATTTTGATTTCTGATTCTGGCATACTAATAAGTTAATACTGTTATCTGTTGTGATCTGGTGTGAAATAGTGACTTGGACGGTTTATGTACAATAACTGCGTTCGGATACCAAACTTTTTCAAAACCTTAAAATTTGATGAAAATCAGGAGGTTGATTTATACACCAGTAATTAAGCCGAGCATTCGTTGATTGTGAATTATGGATGCATTGCAAGCATTGAGTAACTCCAACTATGAATAACTCTGTCACTTTACCTCTTCAAAAACTACATTGAATGAGTTATATACAATTTTACATTTTTCCTCATCAGTTTTTTGAACATGTATAGTGTTTTTTAGAAGCAATGCTTTAAATTTCTTTCGGGAAAATAAATTAACCATAAGAAAAGGTAATTTATTCAAGAGTATTTCAAACAAAATTTCACGCTTTTTAAGACTTCGGAATAACATTTGAATCTGTAATAACCTCCCAATGACTCGGGTTCGAATCTAACAGTGGCTGGTCTATACGAATTCAGCTCCCGGCTCGCACTGACTACAGTGCTGGTGTAAAATATCCCATGTGATGGACTGATCATGGGTGAGAATTCTCTTGTCAGAGGGGGAGGTTTTTCGGTTTTCCTCTCCATCTTCTGCAAAAGTGGATTAATTCAAAGTAGATGAAGACGTCACTTTGTCCCAATGCTTGATGCAACAGTTCCCTTCTCTTCTGCGTTGGGTTAAAAATTACAAGGTTAAGGAGTTGAATATCGATAGTTGTTAATTCGGAATCTGTCGGCTGTTAAGCGCCGGTTATTACATGAAATAAAATAATAAACCACTAAAGCTACGGTGTCTTAAGGGATAGAGCGATAGCCTCCCAATCAGGTGATCGAAGTTCGAATCCAAGCGATGACTGGTCGCACGAATTCTGTTCCCGGCTTGCACCGAACACAATGCTAACCTAAAATATTTATGTGGTGTGAGTACAGAGTTGTTTCATAGCTTTCACCGTGAAAACTTGTTCCCATGTGGTAAAAATCCTTTGAGAATGCAGATTTTCTTTCCAAATTTTACAGAAAAAACTTGTTTCTTGTATTGTAAAAAATCGTTGAGGGTACGGAATTACTTCGCAATTATTACGGTTTTGTACAGCCTATCAACTGCAGCTTTAAAACCGTAAATTTTACATTTTTTTTTATAGTGCATGTTGCTCTTCAATAGAGTAGAATCAAACATAGCCATACAAAACCCGAGCCCAAATTTCACTCCAGGGAATAGGAGTTTCTATGGGTTCTTCGCTCTACTTCCAATTTTTGAGATTGAGAGGTAGGGATCAAATTTCGTATTCTTGAATGTTTTTTTTTAGTAAATATTATGCTCATGTATTTTTAGGTACGTTTATTTCTTGAGACATCATGTATTTATATATACTTTTTCCATACACTTTAGACACCTCGTACTTACTTAAAACAAACTTGATATTTATTTTACTTGATATATAAGTCATGGTAGAGGCAAATCATTCTTGCGCGTAATTTTGGGAATTTTGAAATTGTAAAAATGTATACCTGTATTTTCAAATATTACCTGTATATTTGCAAATCTATTTCAGTTCTGTAATAAGTGTATGCTCTGTAAAAATATTTACAGAACCCTCTACCAACTTTTCATTTCTTTTGATATATTTTCTACAAAACTGCTGAAAAACTTATAAACATAAGTACAGAATTTGTAACTGAAGTACAGAAATTTGCAACTTATTTAAAAAAAAGTTTTGTGCGGAATTTGAAATGATGCATCATTTGTTTTTAAGATCTTTAAATATGTTTTGAAGTATTTTTTTTAAAAAACTGAATGATGATGGATCTGATTGCCGAATCAAGTTGATGTTTTGAAATTTTTATTGTAGATTTTGAGCAAAATTTCAATAAAAAATTTTAAGCGTTATTTTTACCTGTTATATTTAAAATGCAGTGCTATTCCCTTTATATATTAAAAAGGAAAAAAACTCTCAAACTAGCTGCAGTTGTTGACCAAAAGAAAAGGGAATTCAAATAAATTTTTGAGAACCATAAAAATCTATTATTATACTATCTATATTAGGTACCCGTAATAATAAATTGGGTATTTATTACAACAATTAAGTTTTACTCGAGTCAAAAATAGTTTCAGGAATTTTTCATGGCTTCAAAACTAAAAGTATCGGTTATTAAAATTTTTAAAAACTCGTGCATTTTTATAAGATTTTAATAACGATTTTAATCTTGTAATTTAATTTACTTTTCCTTCCAGTTTTGACAAATTTATGTCTTTATAATTTATATTTTAAAACAAAAACTAATTTATATACTTTTTATAAAAATGTTTAGATACGGTCTGACCACAAAAGAAAAAAAAACTGTACTACTGTTCTATAAATGGAACTGAACATACTGATTTCTGAAACAGGAAAATTTATAAAACAAACCAGAAATTTCTTTTGTATGTCTAATAATTGTTATTTCAAATTATTATTTCAAATGCAAAATTATAAATATAATTACAAATTATAAATATCAGTTATTAAATAAAAAATGTAATTGTCAATTATTAAATGCAAAATATACTTTCCTGTGATTAGAATTTATAAAATAGTTATTTACTTATATTTTTTATTGATTGCTTTAAAGTGAAAATCAACGATTCCGGCGAAAATTTAAAAATTTTTTAATGTCTGTATTTAAACTTATAAATATAGTCTAAATTTCAACGTAAAAATATTTGTTTCCTTATGTTGGTATTATTTGTTTTAATATTTAAAATTCGAACTCGAGAGAGTAAGTTTAATTCAATAAAGTTGACTTAAAAAGAAAAAAATGGATTAGGATTTATTTTATAAAAAAAATGATTGATTGATGCACATTCCTGAGAAATGAAAATGTAACAGAGCAAATTTTTTGCATTCTATTAAACAAAAAATTATTGAATATGATTTTAAGCATATGTTGTAAGTGCTTATTTGTTGTTTGTTTTGATAAAAAGTCTCCGTGGAAGGGTTAAAATTCAAAATAGTACATAAATACTATTAGAAAATTATTTTCTAATTTCACTAATCAGCTCAACTTAACGAATTTATTTTCTTATGTCTATAAATTAGTAGAGATAAAGTTTAGGTAATTATAAAGTATAAGAATAATAAATATACATTTAATAAATGAAAAATAATACTGGATACTTTATAACTTCAATTACTCTATCACTTTATAATTTAAATAACCAAAAAATTAGATAATTTTATGTCTGTATATATACGTTAATGAACTTTATTTCATTTTCGAGTTTAAATTTTCAAATTTTTTAATTCAAAACAGCTCTTTTTATTATTTAGCATATTTTCAAAACTTCTTCTATTAAACGACATTTCTCAAGTTATTGTATTTAATGAAAAGAAATATATATCTATCTTTTTTATTTCTTTATGTCGTACACAACTTTTTACACACATCCGGATATCTAATGAAATATGTAATTTTACACAGAATGCAACTGACCTTTTGACTAGATGCGTTTTTACAGTTTCTAATGCATGGAAGCTACGTGAGATGCAACTAAAAGAAGAAAAAAAGATCAATCGAAGCAATATTTACGGATGAAGTTTTTAAAAACAATCCAATTACTCTCTCTCGAGTTGGTTCGTTTGAGTAACACTTGCACCAGGCGTTTCAGTCGCAGGATCTTTGCCATCATATGGAACTCGAGCAAAAGGATTCCTTGGACAGAAAGGGAAACAGTCACTGAATATATGACTCCGCAACAGATCAAATTGCTCCTGCAGATCAGCCAACACATCAAAGAAGTTTTCCATACCCTTCGTGATCTCGTTTGTTGCATTTACGGGATTGAAAGAAAGGTTCTGTATGAACATATCATTGAACGCCATCTTGGTCGTATTGCAGATGCCATCGTCAACGCCGTCGGTAGAGTCTTTCTGAAGCTGCACACCTTGGTAAGTCAGTTGACGGTCTGGATTACAAGAAAACCACGGAGATCCGTTTCTGGTACAGTTTGTACCGTCCGAATCAGAGTTGCAGAAGACTCGGTAGAAGTTTCCGGAACTGTCAGTGAGAGAGATAGATATCATCGACATTCCAGTGCCTTCTTTTGGATATTGCATATTGTCACACCAATCGACCATTTTGTTTACGCAGTCGACTTTGTTATCGGATGTAAAGAATGGATCATCTTGGGCTGTTGCTGAAAAAATAGAAGCAACAGCTATAATCAAAACGAAACTAACTCGTTGATGCATTTTAAATCACAGATATGCTTTATAGTAAACAGTTCTAGCTGAATCGGTTCACTTTCGTAAAGTCAAAGTCCTCAAACCACAGATGATGTACTTTTTTTAAACAAAATTTTCTAATTAAGTTCGCTGAGAGTTGAAATTCGACAATCGAAAATCGCGCTCTTCGGTTTTCTAAGTTTCAGGTGAGGTTTCTTTTGAATTAAGCCGGTCGGTAGAATATGTAATATATACGTAATTATGACGTAATACCTTGGCCCTGAAATTTTGCTGCCTTGTTTATTATTTTGCTCAGTCATCCGCTCGCTTTCTTTCCTTTGTCGCAATATCTCTATTAGCGAGTTTTCAGAAAGAGAAAAAAAGCTATATTTTGAATCATTACACGTGAGTTAAAATGACGAACAAATCAACTCACTTTTAACACTCAATAGATGAGACACATTTTCTATTGTGTTGTTTTACAGGTGGTTTTTTTTTGCTAGAATTCTGCTTTTGTAAGACAAGTTGATTGTCATAATTTACGAGAATATTCTATTCATCTAAACAAAATGAACGTCTCTGTCAAATCATAAATGATTTATTTAATTGATCTTTAAATACTATTCCAAAAGCTATACGACGGATATTTATTCTTTTCCAAAAGTCTTTAATTTCTTGTGAAACATTTCAACATCTAAAACCAAATTCTCTCTTTTCATCAATTTTGCATTTTCTCCGCTGTCTAAGTTCGAGTGCGCAATAATTTTAATGAAGAATAATTTACTACCCAAATTTGATTTTGAAATTTAAGTCAGTTGTAAAATATGTGTCAAATCTGATTGCGTTAGTTTGATTTATCTTAGTGCATTTGTATTTCTATATATCAGCTTTAATTCACTAAAATAATATATATTTACGTAATTTAAACATGTTATTTCAACACATTAAACCTAATATATATGTTAAGCATATGTAATATATATTGAGGAACGTTACCTCTTCTAAAACCATATTAGTTATTTTCTTTTTCGATTTAAAATTATTTTTACTGATGTATTTTCTCTGCAGTACAAATCTGACTGCGGATTAATATTAATAAGAAATAGTTTTCTGCCCAAACCTGATTTTGGAGCATGAGTCAGTTCTGAAATATGTGTGAAATTTAACTACGTCTATTTGATTAAGCCAATTTTATTTTCTTCGAATTTAATTTTGTATCTTTAAGTTTAATTTGCTAAAATAATATAAATATTGCTTAATTAGCACATTGAACATAATATTTTCGTTAAGCATCTGTAATATATCTCAAGAAGCATTTTTTAACATCTAAAACCATATTAGTTTTTTTTTCCTTTTTCAATTTACTGAATTGTATTTTTTCTGCAGTTTTAGTCTCACTGCGGAGTAATATTAATTTTTTAATATGAAGAATGACCAATTTATTACCCGAATACCATTGATAATTTATTTCCCAAATCTGAATTTGAATATGGTGCATGAAAACTAATGATTTTTCATTATTAAATTATTATTTTTTTATTCAATATTATGAGTCAACTATAGAAGTTCTATAACATGTGCCAGTTTGATTTAGACTTTTTAACTTAACATGCATATAAAACTTTTTTTATAATTATATAAAAAAGTTTATGCTGCAATATATATAAAATTATGTAATTCATATATTATATGATACGGGGTCCGCGCTAAGTGTTCACCGTCTCTCCAGATGCGATAAAATTTGGCGAATAAAATTGTACTTTGGCTGAAGTATTGGCGAATGATTTTTTCCATTGGAAACAGAAATATATATTTAACTCGATCCTAAAAATTACGTCAAAATGAATTTTTCTAAACAAATCAGTATTTTTTATTCGATTACAGTAAGTTTTGGTAGATGCGCCGCATAGTCAATTAGAATTGGGTCCAAATAATATAAGCCTGTAACAAATTGCCGTAAAATACAGATTAAACCTAGTTCTGTGGGAAAACTTGGGGGATAATCATAATTTTTTTTTTTTAAGATTTACATTTGGCGTGGATTTCTAAAATTGGCGAATAATTTTGATATTTGGCTAATTTACTGGATAATAATTTAAAATCCGTAGCGTTTGTAACAATTATTAATTTAGTATATTAAAATTAAACTGCATTGCTGCTGATTTAAACAATCAAAGGTGGCAGGAAATCATTGGTTAAAATTCCTTTACAAAGTCACAGCTTTCGGACCGAAGGGAATTCTTCAAAATGTAATGTAATAGCTGTTTATTTGACTAGGTAGACTTTTATTTCCTAATTTATTTATATTTTATATATTGTATGAAACTATTAACTCACATTGGGCGCTAAATAGACCATATAAAGTTTAGATGTGCAACGATGAATAAATTAGTAATATATTGTGTGATACAAGGGCTCGAAAAGTTTTAAAATGTTTGCCTCTTGTCTTCTGGATTGGGTTCAAAATGACAAGGCTGCTGAGTTGAAAATTAGCAGTCGCAAACCCAAAAAATTGGGTCAGTTATAAAATAAAATAAAAAGTTTGCATGCTCTGCCTGAACATTTAATTCGATTGTTATTAAAGTTAACCTCTTCAGGATGAAAAAGAAGTGCTTCCCTTTTCTCAGAGAGTGTACGTACTAATACGAAAGCACCGTATTGAGAAAGGGCAAATTAGAGAGATGGAGAAGTCAGATGTCTTCTTACGTGGGCAGGGACTTCGCAACAGCATATATCAAGTCAAGTCAAGCCGTATTGAGATCATGTCAGAGTGATTTTGCTCTGTAAAATAACAATTAGCTGCGAAAAGTACGGGCAACTTGAGTGCATCATCAGTAACATCCTTTTTATCGCAAGATCCATTTTTACTGTAAAACTTTATACCATAATTTTAATAGAGTCAATATTTTTTTATCGTAGCTTGATTCGTGATTTAATAAAGTGCGACTTTCTTGAGTCAGAAAGACTCGTTTTTTATATGATAGTGTGAGCCATGAAGGAAGAAACGCGTAATCACATGTATGGGATCATGATTTTGAAGTGGTAAATTCAAATGATGTTTTACAATTGTGTATTCATTATGTTAGTTGTTGTTGTTTCTAATGACACTTGGGCAAGCTAAGCACACCAGCCATTTGTCTTTTACGAATTAAGTTAGGAAAGTGCTTCTTTTTTTAGACATGAGAGCATCGCAAGGGTGAAAGTATGTCTTAGCTCAGAATTCAGCGGATAGATGACAGCTTCATTCATTCCTGAGTCCACTTCCACAAAAATTCTCAAGAATATATTCCTTAGTTTTCCGCACACAAAATCAGAATTACAGCGTTATTTAGGAGATTTAAATGAAGATTATAATGACATTAAAATAACTATCTTAAAGAAAGATAAAAAGTAAAATATGGAGGATAACATACTTTATATTCAAACAAGATGATGGGATAATATATTCCACGGGTGTGAGATATTTAAAAATAATTTCACATTGCATTTTTATTTTCGTATGGATATAGTTAGAGTTACAATTAATAACTCACTTAATTGTTGTTCTTGTTGTCTTAGACAAGCCAAGCCAGTCAGCCAGTGACCTTTTCGCGAATTAAGTCAGGAAGGTGCGCCTTTCGTATAGCAAGAGAGCACCTTAAGGGTGAAAGTACGTCTTTCCAAGAGTCTGTTCGAGGATCGAACCTCGAGCCCTCCTAACAGGAGCAAACCACTTACCATCTCTAGCCACTGGGCTACCTCGCTCCCTATTCATTATTTTAATTGAATGCACTACTTTACATAATTATTATAAAAACAATTACACTTTGTCTACTGTTTAGTAATTGTAAAATGGCTATGAAGTTATTCACTGTTATTAAATTATGTAATAAAATGATGCATAATATGGTAATCTTATAGGATTGTTTTGTAATAAAAAGAATATAGATTAGTCTTCAATTTTAACTAATAAGCAAAAGCAAAAATGTAATTTTAGAAGAAGATAATACTATAATAACGAACTTTTAAATGACAGTTTTCTTTAACGTCCACCTTATGGTCACAAAAGAGTCGTTGGTAACGTTAACGTTAACTTCCACCTTATGGTCACAAAATAAATCTAGATCTTCTTTTTAACTGAGGCATGTGATTGGCTGGCCGATAAGAAGGCTCCGATAACAATGAGAAACAGATTTAGACCATTATCTTTTTATTTTATATACAAATTTATAGAATTTCACTTATTTAAAATTTTAACTAAGTTAAAAACTTTTAAATCTGAAAATAATGAAGAAGGAAATTAAGCTGAAAATAATAAATAAAAATTGCCTTAAGTATCACACAATAATAATTTGAATGACTTTAATATTGCTGAACGGGTTTTAACTTCACATAATATTAATTTTTACGTGACTTCTGAAATTTCATGAAAACGGAATTCATTCTAAAGTTCTAGTTTCATATAGGGCTGATTACATTTAAAAAAAAATATAAATTGATAAGACAAAATAATCGATAAAATAAATAAAAAATAAAATCACATAAAGAATAAAAACCACCCGTAAATCAGTTTATCAATGCACGCACCTGTATTCCGTGCTTTAAATTCACCTAATATAAACTTTTAATTTCCTAAAAATTGATGAAATTTCCTGAAAACAGAGCTCATTCTAAAATTTTAGTTTCTCATAAAGCTGATTACATAAAAAAATAGAAATTGATAAAATAGACTAATCTATAAAATAAATAAAAATAATGATAAATAAAAACCATATGATAAATAAAAACCACCAGATAATCTGTATATCAGTAATGTACTTAATAACATCAGTCTAAATTTTAAGGCTTTTAACTTTGTCTAATATAAATTTTTAATATCAAAAAAATTGCTGAAACTTCCTAAAAATAGAACGTATTCTAAAATTTTAGTTTTACTATAAGCTGATTAAACAAAAAATTTAAATCGATAAAATAAGTAAAAATAATTATAACTTGTAAAATAAAAATAAATTGATGAAATTTCCTGAAAACAGAGCTCATTCTGAAATTTTAGTTTCTCATAAAGCTGATTACATAAAAGAATATAAATTAATAAAATAGACTAATCTAACAAATAAATAAAAATAATAATTCATTTGATAACAAAAACCACCAGATTATCTGTATATCAGTAATGTACTTAATAACACCAGTCTAAATTTTAGGGCTTTTAACTTTGTCTAATATAAATTTTTAATATAAAAAAAAATTGTTGAAGCTTCCTAAAAATAGAACGTATTCTAAAATTTTACTTTTACTATAAGCTGATTACACAAAAAATTTAAATCGATAAAATAAGAAAAAATAATTATAACTAGTAAAATAAAAATAATTCATAATAATAAACAATAAATCAATCGAATAAAATAATAAACCAATCTAACAATAATACACCTGCTAACACATATCGTAATATGCGGATTTTAATTTCAATTAATATGAATATATAATATCAAAAAAATTTTTGAATTGATATGAAAACAGATTTCATTCTCAAACAATGTCTTTATATATATATAAGGTTAAATGCATAAAAATAAG